ATAATCGAAAAGTCGCTCTTCCAACGATTGGACAGTTTTCCAAGAACAACAGTCAAAGATAACATCAAGCTGGTTGAACTAGGGGATCTGCTACAAGAGATTCAAAGTGCCAAGGAAGATGGCTACCTTCCTGGCCTACAATATCTGGACACTTCTCGCGGAATTGGGCCAATTGTTGAAAAGCTTCCACATGGACTTCAGGAAAGGTGGATGTCACATGGATCTCAATATGAAGAGGAAAATCAAGGCTGTTTCCCACCCTTTAAGTATTTCTGCCAGTTCGTGTGCAAAGAGGCTAAGAGACGCAATGATCCAAGTTTCCACCATCAAAACGGCCAAACACACTCAAGGCCAGAAAAACTATATTCACAGGACGCCATGTTTATCAAAATAATGGACAATGCTATGTACAAAGATGAGGACAACAGTTGGGTTGCCCCACTTCCGTTTAAAGAACCTCGCCAGCGACTGCCAAACAATAGAGCACTCACAAGATTCTCATCCTTAAAACGCAACCTAAACAGGAAACCAAAAATGCAAGAGCAATATGTGGCCTTCATGGGAAAGATCTTTTCTAATGGCCATGCTGAGTTGGCACCCCCACTGAAAAAGGAAAAGGAGTGCTGGTATCTTCCAACTTTCAGAGTTTACCACCCACAAAAGCCTGATCAGATCAGAGTTGTTTACGACTCTAGTGCTCAGTACCGTGGTGTCTCACTTAACAACGTCCTCCTTACTGGCCCTGATCAAAATGACACACTCCTTGGAGTTCTCCGCTTCCGGACCGAGAGCGTTGCAATCATGGCAGATATACAGCAAATGTTTCACTGTTTTATGGTGCGCGAGGACCACCGTAACTTCCTCCGTTTTCTTTGGCATAGGGACAGTGATTTAAACAAGGAAGTTATCGACTATCGCATGAAAGTCCATGTATTTGGCAACTCACCATCTCCTGCTGTTGCTGTTTACGGACTTCGCGAGGCCATCAGAGCAGGTGCAAAGGACTACGGTGCTGATACTGTCAAGTTTGTGGAGAGGCACTTTTACGTAGATGATGGCTTGATTTCTGTTCCTTCTTCAGCTGAGGCAACAGACTTGCTTCAAAGAACACAAGCTTCACTCGCTGAATCCAATCTGTGCCTGCATAAGTTTGTTTCTAACTCACAGGCAGTTATGCAGGCCTTCTGCCCAGAAGACTGTGCAGCAGTCATTAAAGACTTAGATTTAAGTGGGGAAGAAATACAATCCCAGCGAAGCCTTGGTCTTATTTGGGAAATGACAACCGACACGTTCACTTACTCAGTAGCCGACACAAACAAACCATTCACCCGACGTGGTGTTCCGTCATCCATCAACAGTGTCTTTAATACCCTGGGCCTATTGGCACCAGTCACAATCCAAGGAAGAGCTCTGCTCAGAGAACTCACTTCAGGTTGGGACACACCCTTTCCAGAGGACAAAGTCCCCCTCTGGAAGGGGGACTTTGTGGAAAATTCCCTTCAGGACCTAAAGGAACTACATGTCCCTAGAACCTTCACATCTACTTCACTCAGTCAAGCGACGCATAAAGAACTGTTTATTCTCAGATGCATCAACTAAGGCCATAGGGACCGTAAGCTATTTAAAGGCAACCCAAGCAGATGGCAAAGTTGAGGTTGAATTCATAATGGGCAAGGCAAAGCTAGCTCCCCTGTCAGAACCAACTATACCAAGACTTGAACTCTGTGCAGCAGTCTTGGCAGTGGAAATGGCTGACCTCATTCAGGAGGAGTTGGACTTACATTTTAATGCAATACACTTTTATACCGACAGTAAGGTGGTAATAGGCTACATCTGCAACGACTAAAAGATTCTATACATACGTCCACAACAGAACACAGCGCATTTGCCAGTCGTCAAAGCCAGAACAATGGCACTATGTGCGTACAGAAGAAAACCCAGCAGACCATGCATCGAGGTCATTGTCAGCAGCTCAGCCAAAAAGGTCAACATGGTTCATTGGACCATCCTTCATCCGCCATCCTCCTGCAGAGATACCACACGAGTGAAATGTTTGACTTAATCAAACCTGACAAAGACTCAGAGATTAGGCCAGAAATCAGAACTTATGTTACTCACCTCTGAGTACTCAAAAGTGAACGTTTCGGGCACTTTTCTACTTTCAAGTCCTTAGTCACAGCTATAGCAAATCTTATCCACATCACAAAATCTTTCAATGGGACCAATCCAAACAGCAAATGCAAAGGCTGGCACAAATGTCACCTACCTCGAACTCCAGAGGAGATAGTTCAGGCAAAAACTGTCATCCTCAAAGAGACACAAAAGGCCCACTTTGAAAAAGAACTTTCTGCCCTTAATTCTGGCAAACCGATCTCAAAGCAGAGGCCTCTACAAAAGCTCAGTCTAATCCTGCAGGATGGTCTCATTTCTGTCGGAAGTCCATTTATTCTCCCTAAACACAGTTACATCTCCCTCCTGCTCACTTGTCATCACCATGAACTAGTGGAACATCAAGGCCATCATCTGACGGAGGGAGCCATCAGGGCTGCAGGACTGTGGCTTTTAGGGTGCAAAACACTTTTCAACTCAGTAATCTACAAATGTGTAACCTGCCGCAAATTGCATGGGAAACTAGAACAACAACTCATGGCGGCTCTACCACCTGAACGTCTAAAAACTTGTTCTCCTTTTACTTATGTCAGCCTCGACGTCTTCAGGCCCTGAACTCTTACTGCCAGACGCACCAGGGGCGGAATAGCTGAAAGTAAGCTATGGGCCATTATGTTTACCTGCATGAGTTCAGGGGCTGTCCATATTGAGGTAATCGAATCTCTAAACACCTCTCCAGCTGTGTAAATGCCCTCTGTCGCTTCTTTGCTCTAAGAGGTCCCGCCAAACAGTTATTGTCGGATCGAGGCACCAATTTTGTTGTGGCTTCCAAGGAACTAGGAATGGACAAATCAATGCAGAAGTATCTAACAGAGCAAGGTTGCAATTGGGAGTTCAAACCTCAACATGCCTCTCACATAGGAGGGAGCGCATGATCGGAATTGAGTATTTGCACACATTGCAACAAAGACAGAAATGGACTGTATCGTGTAGAAACCTCCAAGTTGGTGAACTAGTTCTGCTAAAGGACGCGCAGGTTGCACGCAACAGCTGGCCCATGGCAAAGGTTACTGCAACATTCCCAGGTAAAGACAGTAGAGTAAGAAAGATCGAGGTAAAGGGATGGGTTCTAGGTTGTGTAAAGACATTTATGCGACCAGTTACAGAAGTTATCCTTCTCATGCCAAAGGACTCGATGTATAATGGATTGTTTAGTATAGTGGCCTCATTAGTGTAGTGGTCAGGCGGGGAGTGTGTTGTCCTTAAGGCATTTCTATAAATAAGTAAGTTCATAAGGTTAAATTAATAATTCTAAAAATATTTTGGTGTAATTAAAAATGATTGCAAGTTGTTTAGACAAACAATTCATGCTTTATATAAGTTTGTATAAAAAATATATATTATTGGTAAATTCTACTTCCGGTTCCATTTACGTACTTCCGGTATTCCGGTTTTGCTTCGAAAACAAAGGTTCACATGCAAGAGGCAGCATGGAAATGTTATCAGTTGCCATCCACTCTGAATTGTCATGCAGGAACGCCGTAAGTTACATCATATGGCAGCTTATACTGTTTAGTTGGATATTGTTGATTTTCCTGTAATGTTATTTTAGCGAACTTGAACCACTTAATTTGGGTATATATGTCTCTACATGTTGACATAGAGCGTAATTTTTGTCATTTCAGTTTTCACCATATTGTTCATGAAGACAGTTAAACAAGCTGCAACTAAACTCCAGGGTCTTCATTTGTGGTTTAACTCGGTGTCACCAACATCTTCGTTGAAAACACAACAACAGCAGATCCCAATTGTTCACAGTTCAGTTTTTGTTAGTTCATCTATTTGTGAATATATCTGTGGAAAGTCACTCCAAAGTTCTTGTGGAATGACTCTTAGTGGAATTTTTTGTTGAGCGTAAAATATTTGACAGAAAATGCAATTTGGGATGGCAAAATATCTGGGGGTTATGCTAGTTGACACAATTCAGATGTACCATTTCTTTTCCATAGCGCTGATTGAACCGATTGCAGTTTTTTGGCTGATTGCCAATTACCAATCTTTAAAAAGCCTGACCTGCCAATTCCAATTTTGGCTGATTCCATTTTTTTTTGTCTGAAATTTTGCTAAATATAGCAAGAAAGTTGCTGAGTTTGCATCAGTGGGGAGACTATTGATAACTGCAAATATGCAGACATGACTTGGTGGTCTGGTCTGTCAGTCAAACCTCACTCATGGGAGAGAGAGCAAAAAAGGACAGCGGATGATTTTTAGACCTTTGTCATACTTCATATGTATGTATTGGCCAATCACTAATCTCTCCAAATTAAGGAAATTGGCACTGATAAATCAGCTGGCTGATAAATCAGTGCACCCCTACCCTTAAAAGCAGAGAAAAGGAAGACTATAGCCGTTAGCTTCTGCGGTAGCGCTAAGCCAGTTTCCAGCTGTGTGTATCAACACTTATTGAGGTATATTTGGTGCTTGAACTATTAAAGTTTGCAGTTTAAATGTTTTTAGACAAGGTATCAAATATTTTCACAATTTAACTATTCATGGGCACTCCCAGTGTGAATTACTTCCAAAAAACCCTGAAGTTGGAATTCTAGGTGGGAAGGTCAAAGGTTGCTCAGCATTCCAAGTTCAGTGTGCTACATGTAACACACACACATATCCCTGCCAAAGGCAGCAGTTGTGTGAAATATCTAGTAATTCTTAAGGCAATACACATTGGGGGAGGATGATCCTTTGTGTTTAAAATGGAGAGAAACATGTGGCTTTTGATTTGTGTTGCTAATAGCCATTAGCATCAGTGCTTTATCAGAACCTCACTTAAAAACTCTTTACACACGTGAGAGGTGTCGATGAGAAACCCGAGGCAACCAGAGGACAGGTTACTTTGACAGTTTTATTTGTGAAAAACTACAAGCAAAATTCATAAATAGACATTTCTATCTGAAACGGAGGAAAAATTATCAGGTTAGCCTAGAAGCGCAAAGTCGTGCACATGCCAGAAACATGTATTAGTTAACATCATTAGCTAGACAAGGAGCCGTGATCTGCTGAAAATGCTGCATACATTTCCACACCAGAAACATAAGGTGACGATTTCACAAGAAGGAAACAATGACACATCAGCTGGAAGTCAAACAAAAAAGAAGGAAGCAACAAAAAACTGGACTAAACAAAGAATGGATACTTGTACTGTTTCTAAAAGTTTCTCTTTTTTCTTAAACCAAGCAATAACTTTAAAAGCATTGTACAAGACATTGTTACAGGAAGAAAAATTAGTTTTGTATAATACACTTAATTGGAAGTTCACGTTTAAGGTTATACAGTAAATAAAACAAGCATTCTATATTTGGGTCTCTGAACAAACAAAGCTAAAATATGTAACCATCTTTACACAGTAAATTAAGGTTACTGGTTGCACACAAGAACAGAACTGCTTGCGCGGGAGGGGAAAAAACCTGGAAAACTAAAAACAGAAAAAAAAGGACCTCAGCTTAGTTACTCATAGTGTTTGCCTTTGCACCTTTTTAAAATTCTATTTACAAGCAATAATTCATATACCCAGCAAAATGGCCATCTGTTAATTTAACAATAAATGCCGTGAGTACTCCATCCTTGTGAATGTGGTTACAGCCGAGGCAGGTGAGAGAAAGGAGCTTTTCCAGACCTCATCGGTTCAGATTGTGTTTAATTCTCCTTCCTTCTCAGCCTGATTTTTACAGTTCTGTTTCTGCTCAACACTGATTCTGTATGCGATAAAGCACAAAACTGTAGCTGTAGCTAAATGCAAGGGTGGTTAAAAAGAAAAAAGAAAAAGAAAAGTTAACTCCTGGACTTGTTGGAACAAGATTATCGTTCTTTTGTGAGAATCTGCAGAGCAGATTTCATCCTTCCCTCTATGTTTCCTGGGAGTTTCTATTGCTCTATTGGTGACCTGAAGGGGGGAGCTACGCGTTGCTGCACTGCGTGAAGCTAGCTTCATACCTAACGAGTTAACCTGGGCGCGAGGACTTACTTGGCCAATGCATTGGCCTTGCACGTGTCGCGGTTGTGCGCCACCGTTCACACGAACTAGAGGTTTTGGACAGTTCCGGTCCCACCACACTGGCATTTATGCGATTCCTCCATGAAGGCTCATTTTAGGAGAATACGGCTTACAACACGCGTCAACTATAAACGCAGTCTCATGCGAGCTCAACATAAACTTTCAAAAGCACGACTATAACTCAGCTTTTAGTCTAGAAGAATGAAGCTTTTGGTTTTTCTTATTCCACTAAGGCAAAAGTCTGCAGTACAGCAGCCCGTTCCTCCCCCTTCCCCCACACCGGGTTAGCCACACACAGAGACACTGAGTGTACAATAAGAAGACCATTTACATGGATTATATTAGTCTTTATTTAAACTGTTATTCATCTCACACATTAGATAATTGCATTTCAAATTGTTATTCATCTGTATGTATCATGTCATTATGAAATTCCTTTGGTCCTTCAATAAATAAAACTAAGATATCATATACACATTTATTCTTTATACAATTTCTTACAGGTTAAAGGAAATTATGTTGGTCTATTCTCAGCTAAGGTGTAAAGTTCTTTAAAATCCTTATATTAAGCCTCGTTGCTATAAAATTTTATTCGCATTCCAATAAGTACTGTCATGTTTTTTGCCTTCAGTGACAGGAATCTTAAATGAATACACATAAAAAAACAAGTCAATTGAATTGTCAAATTTGAATTTTTTTTTTCCACTTTTGTAGCATGCACTTTCCATGTGAAGATGAAGATCCAAACATTGTCTTCAGGACCACAACAACAAAAATAATTAAAATTATCCATTTTTGACACCATAAGGTCTGGCTTTTACAGTGTGACTTGGTTTCACCAAGAACTGCATCCTTCAGTCAAAGAAACCAGGAAGCGTGGCCACTCCAAACTCTGACCTTCAGTCTATAACTCAACGTGTAAAGCATGGAATGTAGAAAATATCAACAGCTTTTAGTGTTTTACACAACAGCCTACACTGTACAGTGAGAGGACAGAAGGTATTGTACAATCTGCGAGAGCATACTAAATGGGAGTCAAGCCGGTTAGAGAATTTAAAAAAATTGCCGAGGTTTCCACAGTGCTGTTGAGAAATGTGGAGGACAGTTTGATTCATAAACACTTTCTCACATTGAGGAAAAAATGGCCACTCCCAGATCTGTAGAATCACTTCACAGTGTATTTAGCACCTGTGTGTGTGTAATCCTAACATTTTTAATGTAGTGAAAACACTGATCAACCAGCAGAGCTATGCGGCAAAAGCTTGAACGTAAAAATCTGAAAATATCAAAGCATACAGGTGCAACAGGTAATAAATAAGGGGAATAATAGTTATTTAAATGGTGGTGGTTACTGTGCCCAGCGGAGATTTCTTCTTTACAAAAACAGAACAAATGGAAGGGGGGGGATAAAAAAAAAGACTTGGCCTCACACCCACGTACAAATATAAAACAATACAGACAAATATTTGGATGCTACCAGGAGGACGGGACGGGGGTTAATCCCTGCAACCAGGACGACACGAGTAAGTTTGTTTCCCCTTAAAAGGCGCCACACACCATTTCTCATCCAGCTGGCTCCGCTCAGCATCCAGGGGGAAATCATGGAATGGAGGGCAGGGCAACAACAGGACATGGTGACAACTCCCTCATCACCCTCCCCCCCCACCTCCAATGGGATCCATAGTGTCCAGACGTATGGGCAAGGAGGAGAGTGGGAGTGAAGCACTGGGAGGCAATGGGAATACACAAAAAAATAAGAGAAGCAGGCGCTCAGAATGACTCGTCGTGCCCCACAGACAGGTCCCCTTTGGGGGTGGAGGCACGCGACGAGCCCTTGTCCATGCTTTCGGAGCCAGAGCTCTGATGCTGCTGTTCAGAGCCCGCGCTGGACGTGATGGTGGATGAAGATGTGGATGAGGAGCGGGTCTTCTCCTTAAAGTCCGTTATGATCACTGTCACGTTGCCTACGGTGATGGCCAGCTGCTGGGCGGTGCTCCGATCAATGTTCTTCAGCTTGGGCCTGATGGCGCACACAAACAGAAATGACTGATGAGCAGAATTAGATCGCCAGTCCTGATCTGTCATCTTTTAGATTGTGGCGACTAGAGACGCAACAATCTGATAGTAATATCTGTATCAGTCCTGATATTTCAAAAAATTCTGGAATCGGTATCGGTGGGCCCAACCCATAAGGGCAGACTTGTTTAGTCTAATTCTATGCTTTGTGCTCTGAACAATGTCATGCTTTATTATTTATTTTACATTATATATAAAATTCCTAATTGCACTTTCTGAACCATTTTATTATTTTACATTGGCTATTACACTCCTAATTGCACTGGCTGAACAAATTCAAGTTGTGTAGTTTTTACATGCTTGACCAAGCTTGTGAAGTCATTGGTGGATTTAAGGATATTGTACTGGTGCAGAGATCAAATAAATTTGTAATTCACTATATTCATGTCTTTTTAAAACAAGAAACATTTAAAATCAATTCAACACTGTTTTTCAGTATCATATCTGTATCGGCTGATACTAAAGCTCAGATATTGGTATCAGATGTGAAAAAAAGTGTATTGGTGCGAACCTAGTGATAACACTGTTAAGTGTGGAAGTTGTTACTGAGAGAAAAAGATTTAGTTGGCGGTTCTTCCAATCACTGAGGTAAAATAATTTTACTAATGCAAATCACGTTACATTTGTAGGTAGATTAGCAGATACGAATTAATGACGGTGGCTCCGCTTTGTTCCTGAAAAGAAGCTCTACAATTTTATAATTTTTAAATAGTTGATTAGTGTTTATACTTAGAAAATTAAAAAAAAAACTACCAGTACAGCTTACATGGTTTGGGCCAGAGTGTTATATAAAGTACAGCATTTCCAAAAATTCATATCAAAAAATACAAAAATGAAAAAAATATATAATAATAATAATAAAACTTTGGGACGCTCCAAAAGATTGGGGCCCTGAGCTACTGCCTCTATAAACCCTTTCTAAAGTCTGGGTGAAGAGAAGAGGGTGTTATCATTTGAGGCACCAGATTAAAGCTTCAATCTAATCCACATTCCCATGCACTTGCCTGGTCTGAAGAATGGAATAAAATACAGAAAAAGAATAAACACAACACATCACATACGCAGCTATATGTCAGACAAACAAGTTTCTAAAAAGAAAACTATTTTCTACAGAGGCATGCAAGCTGGTCAGGTACTTTTAGTCCATTTTTAGTCACATTTTTCCGTTGATTTAACAAAGATACCGGTCAAATACAGAGTAGGTGACATTGAGTAATTTTTTCTGCATTTGTTATTACTGGGCATAGCATTGGTCAGCAAGTCATTGAGTCATTAGGAATAATAAATATACATTACATTGAACAAATCAGTTTGTGTTAAGATACATGATCTTCTTGCTCAAATGAAACGCATGAGCATAAGAATTATCACTGGACTTTTCTGAAAGGAGGTTCGTGTCCTAAAAGTTCATTAAAACTTTATTACAAAACTGTGCAGTGTGAATATTAAGCACTTTCAAACACTTCATACAAAAATCAAGCACTTTCCAAATCTTAAACACACTTTATTTTTTAATTCAAACATTTTCAAGGATTTCAAGCACCAATGCAAATCCTATAGGTCTGTTCAGAGGTCGCGTTAACAGAATATTTTCCGTATTTGACCGGTTATAATTCACACCCTTGACTGATGTGAATTATAGATTTTATGCAAAGAGTTAATCGCAGAGGCAATTAAAAGCAAATAATAGAAAAGATCCTTTCTGAATTTGATCTCATGGACACTGAACTAAATGCATCTTTCTGACCGGGAGCAGGCAGCGTGTTGAAGAGTGATGAACAGGACACTATGGAGCCTCTTGTTCAGAAGCGCATTGGTTAAAGGGGAGTGTTTAAATCCAGTCTCCAGTACAGACCAGAGAAAAACAAAGAGTTTTCAATGTTGTGTTAATCCATTTATAGTGTAAACAGAGGAGCCGGCAGTTTATCTTGAGGAAATAAAGGTGCAGAAGTTAATATGAATGCTACATGCGCAGTGTGCTGCAAAACCAATGCTGCGAAGAATTAATCTTAACTCATCCAGCGGTTTTAACAAATGGAGCTGCCCACAAGGAGAGAGGCGCTTAGGAGGAGCATGGCAGACGCAACATCTGTCCGTTTCAGGACAGCGAAACCACACACAAAAAAAAGAAAAAATTCTTGTAAAAGCGCACACCCAGACCGCACACAGGATAAAACACTCAGAGTTCAATTGATCGGTTTGGATCACACAGATCCAACTGAGTGATGAACCAGCGCAGATTTTTCTGCAGATGTGAACCAGGAGGAATTTGAGAGGCACTGTGCATTCAGACCTCAGTAGGTGAAGTGCTGGTAATTAATGTGGAGTCGTTTAATTTCAGTTATTATAAGTTATTGGGGCCACAGTCAGTGTTTTTTTCACTGCAGAGAAAAAGTTAGATGTGTTCATCTGCTCTATGTGTGATGGATCTGGATTCACGGTTCAACTAGGTTATTAACTAAATTGCATAAAAATCCAGCTAAATAGCCTACGTTAATATGATTATAATTTGACGGGTAAAAATAGAACATGACTGATTTTTTTTAATGCTGTCGGTCAAAATGACGGAGAACAAAAAAGTCTAGCACGACCTCTGGGTCTGCTGATTACAAATTTGGCCAATACCAACTTTTTTTGTCTGAGAAGTTGATAAATATAATGACAAATTTGCTAAGTCAGCAATAGTGGAGTGACTATTAACCACACGCATGCAGATGTGACCTGGTGGGCATGTCCTCTTTGACGTTAGAGGAAAAGGACACAGTGGCTGATTTTCAGACCTTTTGTGGAGGTAGCATAGATTGGTTTAACATGTTTGGAAGTAAATGCGAGCGTTAAAATTCTTAAATATTGTTATTTAAGAATATATTATACTTTGAAGTGATCTTTTAGAGGGGGGAAGTACATTGGGTATAGTGTAGTTTTATATTCCAGTTCTTTTCAACACTGGTCCTCAAGGCACACTGCCTTGCAACTTTTAAGCATTCCTCTGCTTCAGCACACGATTTTAAGTGATGCTTAATTAACAGGCTGAATTTGAATGTGGTGTGTTGAAGCACACACATGTAAGTGTGCCTTGAGGACCCAGGTTGGGAACACTGCTACATTCTGTGTGTAAAAAAATATATAAAATAAATACATTTTAAATGTACAGATACCGCTATTCTATAGCTTGGAGGAGACAAAAAAGTGTAATAAAGTACACTTTTAATTTTTCAACAAGTCAGAATAATATATACATTTTTAAAATAGCATTTAATCAATTATGGAAATCCAAAAAGCTTTACTAAAAATCCAAAAAATTCAGCAAAAAAGGCTGAATTTTTTGCTGCAAAAAAGGCAGCTCAAAGTGCTTTACATCATAAAAACATCATACAGTCACCAATTATGAAAAAAGGAATAAACATTACATTTGGTCAAATGTCATCTCTGGTCCCAGGGCATGTGAGGGTGCTTACCAGCATTATACTAGATTACTGAACTCACTGGGTGACACATGAAGAGTCAGAACAAGTGCATGTAAAACAGAGTGGGTGTTTAGTATAAGAGATCAATTGTGAATCACTTCACGCTTCCACACCTCTTTACTGGATGAGTTTCATTAACCAGAAGTGCAGTGAGTCGTGTGCTGAGCCATAGAAGGCTTACTGCTCACCTGGAAATGTGAGAGTTCTTGTTGGACTTTGTTGCTGATTTCCCAGACTGTATGCTCTGTTTGTCACTTGGAGGACTCTGATTGTTGTCCAATTTGGGTCTGCGGGAAAACAGAAATGAGGTGAGGAGTTATGGAAAACTGCCATCCACAAGTCAAGTTTATCTGTGTTAGTCTAGTTCAGCAAAAAGGGCAGCTCAAAGTGCTTTACATCATAAAAACATCATATAGTCACCAATTATGAAATAAGCAATAAACATTACATTTTGTCAAACGACATCATTCAAATCATCAAGCAAATACACAAATCTTTATCAATGTTCCACTTATTACTACTCAAAAGCAACTCTAAACAGTTGAGTTTTAAATATAGACTTTAAGGAACTCAGTGTTTTGGTTGTTTTGCAGTTTTCTGGAAGTTTGTTCCAGATTTGTGGTTCATAGAAGCTGAATTCTGCTTCTCCATGTTTGGTTCTGCAAAGGAGACTGAAAGGTTGATACAACAGATCTTTAATGTATTATGGTGCCAAGTCGTTCAGTGGTTTATAAACTTACAACATTTTAAAGTATTTTAAAGTCAATTCTCTGAGCTCCAGGGAGCCAGTGGCAGGACTTTAGAACTGGGGTAATGTGTTCTATCTGCTGCAGTAATCAATGCGACAAAAGATGAACGCCTGAATGTGTTTCTCTAATGCTTGGGCAATAATTTCAGTTTTGTTTCTAGTCAGCTGGAGAAAGTTATTACACATACAGGCATTGATTATCCCCAAGTGACAACCCAGCATACTAACTCTGACACTGACTTGGTCTTTTTGCTGCTGGGCTTCTTTGTGACAGCTGGTGTGATGTCCTTCTCCCTGTCAGGTTTGTCTTTGACAGGCTGCTCTATCTCGCTCTTGTCCTTCTCGGTGATGTCCCCCTCTGGTGCAACGCTCTCAGGGCGCTCTCCCTCGGGGCGTCCCTCCCCACCGGCCCGCTCTCCTTCACTGTGTGGACGCTCCTTGTCCGTGCGCTCACTTCTCTCTCTCCGGTCCTTCTTGGGTGGGGGAGGCATGGTGTACTGCTGAGCTGCCTGCTGGGCGACCAGCTGGGAGTTTATCCGAGGTTTCCTGTGGAGAAAATCCGAGACAAAGTTTATGGATTATTGTTGTAGAGGAACCATAAGCTGACCCTTGTCATGCAGCAACTTGGTAACACTGCAGCAGTCAGGGGTGAAGAAATGGGTACCTAGTCCTAGCTACAGTAGAGTTACTTATTAGCATTGCACCTCTGTCTTGAAGGCAATCTCATTAAGTCAGGACTGTAATAAAACAAATGCACGGGATCACAAGGTGGAAAGTTGGCAGAATGTCGCAGAGGTTCTCTAATCTGATTACTGCAGAGTTGGCCCCATTTGTCTCAGTATGAGATTCAGTCGATCATGGTGTTTGCTTTCTAGCAACCACAGAGCACTCCTGAACTCTAATCACACTACTATGTTGATGCATTTAAAATGTTCACACAAAGAAATTGTGACCTCTCCCTCATTCTGCTCTGCAAAGACCAACTGTAGGAAAGTACGACATCTTGCAAAATTGTTTATACCATCTTTACCACAAACTTCGGTGTATTTGGGGTGACAGTGGCAGGAGTTCGCCCTGCAATCAGTGGATCACTGGTTCAATTCCTGGTCCGCCTGCTTCACCCACCTTGCCTGCTGGTGTGGGTCAGAAGGGCCAGTGGCACAAAAATTTGGAGCCTTACTTTTGTCAGCCTGCCCCAGGGCAGCTGTAGCTACAATCTAATAGCTTGTCATCAACAGTATGTGAATGAGCCCTTTCAGATTTCAATTGGAGATATAAAAGGGTTTACAAATAAAATGATTATTATTTTACTGGGATTTTATGTTTTAAGTAGCTTATAATTGTGAATTAGAAAGAAAATGATGCATGATTTTCAAAATAGTCAAATTTTAAAAACTAAAAATTTGACTCAACTTTGTCAGTTCTTCACAGAAACACTTTGAGCACCAATTGCAGTTTTTTTTTAGCTGATCACCAAACTTTAAAAAGCCCGACCTGCCAATGTCAATTTTGGCCGATGCCATTTTTTTATTTTTGTCTGATTAGTCGCCAAATATAGCAACAAAGTTGGTAAGTTGGTAACGGGGGAATATTATTATCCACCCACATGCATCCTGTGGGCTGGTCCGTCAGTCATCCCTTTCTCGTGGTAGAGCAATAAAGGACTGGCTGATTTTCAGACCTTTGCTGGGGTAGATAAGAGCGATGATAAGGATAAGGTTTTTTTTTTTTTTTTATTTAAGCATTGGTCGATCATTGATCTCTCAAAACTGAGGAAATTGGGGCCGATTTATTGGTGCAACCCTACTTTTGGATCTTTCTTAGTTCAAACTGACATTTTGGCCCATTCTCCTTTACAAAACACCAAAGATTCAGTCAGATTGTATTAAGAGAGTTCAAGTTTGATAACAGATTCCAAATTGGAATTAGGTTCAGACTCAGACTAGGCCAGCGTTTCTCAATTATTTTCTGTCCTGTCCCCCCCTAGGGATCATATTTTTTTTCACACGTCCCGCCACTCCGTGCCCTTCCCGCCCCAGAATTTAAATACTATTATGGATCTGTTCATATTTAATAATTTATCGTACAAACCACTGGCTCTAGCATTGTATAACCTTATTATCAAAGCCGCTGTTTTATTGTTCTAAGTCTCAAAATAATTTCCACAATTACTCCACAATTATTGAATCACTCAATAAACTGAGTGATTCACAATAACATCTAATCAAGACTACTAAGTTTGAAAAAGAAAAAGTGCAAATGATTGAATGGGATGTGCATTTTTAGACTTAATACAGTAAAACCTTTTACAACTACAAGCAGTGGTTACTTGTCAGCTTCTTCAGTTTAGTTTTTCACAAGGTACATAATTTTTAACATTGTGGAAAAATTTTCAGCAATATTGCTAATATCTCAGCTTGTCGGATGAGAAGAGATGAAAAGTGCATAACATTTTGAATGAATAAAAAGACAGGTTTCGTCTATTTCCTGGCCTTTTTTCTGCGAGCTATGGTACTTGCTGATGGAGTATAAGTGCCGGGCTCTGAGTTTTTGATTTGTGTTTTAAATACAAGTAAAGTTGGACGAGAATAATATCGTAATTTTATGATAACTTTTCACCATACTGCACTAAATTGCGGAATACTTAGGGTCTTGCAAAGTTATAGTCGGTACTGGACTAAGTACTAAATGTTTTAGCACATCAAAAGCAAATTGTCAGCCCCAGGTCTTTAAAACGATTGTTTAAACAACTTTTTATTTAATAGAAAAAACCAGACTTGCTGAGTGGGTCAAGTTACACATCACTCTATCGAAGCTTTTTAACTTAACGACTTTCTTCAGGCAATATTGCGTCTTTACTCTGCCAATATTTAAATTATCCTGCTAATGCTGCTGGGTTCTAGTAGTGTGACTGTATTCTTATGTTTTAAAATGAAAATGTCTTAGCCTGGCCATAAAACTCTGTCATACTTGCGTTACTGACGTCTGCTGCCGTTTTTTTCTTTTCACTATCAAACCTCTCCATCTCTCCTCTATGACGGTAGATATATTTCAAAATATCCACGCTTCGCTCCGTTTTTTTCTTCTGCTCCGTTTACAACAGGGCTGTGTAGCTACTTTTACTGGCTTCAACAGGCAGGCTGTTGATTAGTTTGAATGCTGCTGCCACCTAGAGACCGGAGGCTTGTTTTTCAGCTAAGCATTAATAAAGACAATATAAAGTCTTGCTTCTTGCGCCCCCCCTGGACATTTCGCCATGCCCCCCTGGGGGGGCTGCGCCCCACTATTTGAAAAGTACTGGACTAGGCCACTCTACCATATGCTTTGATCTAAATCACTGCCTTGCAGCTCTGACAGTTCTACTGGCTGATTAAATTAATTAACATTCACTTTTCCAACTTATAAAAAAGGTTTTCTTTCAGAATGTTCCCAGTATTTAGCTCCTTCCATGTTCCTCTGTGACGCTGCCACCATCTTGTTTCACCACAAGGTTATGTCTATACCTTGTGCACATGTAGCCAATAACTAGACCTTAGTTACCGTCCAACACATCATGTTTTGCATGAAGGCCATAAATTTTCATTTTGGTTTTATTTGGTCAGAGCATCTCTGCTTCACCGACTATGAACACTTCTGCACTAATCCAGACATCTGGGCTTAGACACACTCATACACACACACCACATGAATCCTAGCAAATCCACTGCAACATAATGGACACCAGCTGGTAACATCTGTGGAGACCCCTCAGGGGAGAGGAAAGGCTGACTGCACAGCCCAAACTGCTGCCAGCAACTAGGAACCCATGGAGAGAAGGGAACCACTGCTGCGTTCCTGGATCAAACCAACACCTGTGGGCTGCTGAAATAGCTACCCTCTTATCAGGAGAATTAAATGTGTACCAAACCCTTCAAATTCTAGCTTAGACACACGAGGTAGCTGGGATATAGAAAATCAGCAAGTATTTTTCTATATCTCAGGAGAGGAGAGTCCTTGATCTTCTCACCTCCAGTTTACCTGCAAAACCTGCAGTCAAATAAAGAGCTAAGAGTTGAAGAAACTTGTCTGATTCGAGCACCACTCCAGATAAACAAGAGCTGCTGCTGAAGAAATTAGAACTTCACGTTCCGTTTTAAGTGGCTTTCTGCTGAGAGTGGCTTTCATACAGCTGTGCAAGTGGTTAGCCTCAGTGTTTCGATTTGATGACGGTCCAGTTACTCAATTCTGCTCTCAAAACATTCTCAGGTTCTTTCATTAACTGACTCTCTCCACTTTGCACATCTCTCCGTTTCTCGGTAGAGGACTTTGATCCTCTGCATTTGTTTTGAAATTTCTCAGCGCGTTTCTTGGAAAATCCTCCCCAAGAGCTATTACACACTCGAGAAGAGTCTCCTTAGAGAAGAGGAGGCTTATCAGAAGGCGATCAATTACTGTATAATAGAGCATCATGTTGTAGCATTTGCGCTACACACCGAACAATAATGCGAGCTGCAATGAATACTGATGAGTGTTTGGCAGTTGATCCATCAGATGCAGTACCCTGGAGTTTTTCTACCTGTTGCTCTGTGTGAAACCTCCATGGAAGGGATTAGGAGCATGGGAGTGAATTATTCTTCCATCCTATATTCATTATTCCCATCAAATAATAATGGAAATAGTGATTATTCTCATCATTATGAGAATAATCACTATTGCAATTTGCTACAACTTTTACAGCTTGTTATAGCTTGTTTAACCCTCTTCCACCTAAGGATTCTAAAACGGTGCCCTTATAAAATACCTAATTATTACAGATTTTAACCACCTCGCAAAATATGTTTAAGTCTCTTGAACGTAGGCCTGTCACGATAACAAATTTTGCTGGACAATTAATTGTCTAAAAAATTATTGTGATAAACGATAATTTTGTTTCAAGACCTTTTGGCACTGATTTAATGGAAATGACTAATAATAGATGTAATTTCCTGCCATAGATAGATACACTTTATTTTCAAAAGAACACATAACACTGGAACTGATAAATTAAATAAACAAAACAACCAAAAATAAAATGGATTCTCAGTCTCTATTAACAAAAAACGTACATGAATAAAAACTAAACAACATAAAGCCAAAGTGGAAATAAAAACTGCATTCAACCAAAAGAGTACAGATTATGAAGTCTGTATACTATATTGACCTTCAGTAATCAGTAGATTTAAATAGAGAAGATGGACACATCCGACTAACTAATGTAATAGTTCACACTACACGATTTTTTGCCCCCATTTTCCCCTTACAACAATCTTAGATCGTTGGCCGATCTAAGATTGTCGCTGGTGATTTCATAACCAATCATCCTGCAGTGTGTGGTGGGTTACGGTAGATCATCGTGGCCACTCCGATCTAAGTCAGGGGTTTTCCCCGACTGGGAGCTTAAAGCTGAATATGACAGGTAGCCAATCAGAAAGCCGGATTCTCCTCCACGCTTTCTGAGGGAAAATTACGGAGGGGAATCCCAAACAGCTGACACGCGTGACACGAAGTCCAGCGGACATTGGAGATAT